TAATCCCTTAAACCCAACAATAAAACTACTCAGAACATAGATCTTTATCTCCCTAAACCTAGAAACTAAGAAAATGAAAGACAAAAAATTAAAAGCTGCAAAAAAATAAATTGTATGTGTCTCCCTCGCCTAGGGCTCCTAAAAACATGTATTTAAAGTGTCCAAGTCGTCACTCAGGGTTTCTCCAAATGAGGAAATCTTTCTGGGATTGAAAAAGGGCTTCGGGGTCGGACAGACAATTCTCCGCGGTTGGAAAGGTCAGGATCGTGGTGAAATGGCTGTTGGCCGCAGGTAGGAATGTGATGCGTGTCAACTGCGTGAGAGAACAAGTTTTACCCTTAACAAAAACAAATGAAAGCCGCAAATGCACAGCTAATCAGGAGTAGTATTTAGGGATCGAATCCACAGAGATTTGTGTGTCTGGTATTCTTCTACGGTTTCTAACTTTATGTCTAGACTAAATTGGTTTTAGGGGTTGGTTGTTTGTCACAGATTAAACTAAAACGAAAGAAAGCAAATAAATCTATCCTAAAGAGCAAGTAGAAAAATCGAATGGAAAGCAAATGAAGCAAGCAAAATATCAAACTAAAGCAAATGAAATGCAGATCTAAATAAGCAAGTAAAAATCGATTGGTTTGTAACTATGGCTAAAATGCTGAGCTTTTGGGAACTCTACAGAGATCATAATCGGTTTTAACACTAGCACTACAAGAAAGATCGGGTTTTACGTTGGCAGATATCGACGTAAAATCGACGTAAAAGAGCATTTACGTCGAATTAATGACGAAAAAAAAATCGTCGTAAAACAATCGTCGTTAAACAGAAATCGTCGTAAAATCGTCGTAAAATTACCAACCCAGGAAAATCGTCGTAATATCGTCGGAAACTATTCGTCGTAAACACGACGTAAATTTTCCAACGAAAGTACAACGAAATAAGTCCATCATAAGAACGACGTAAAATCGATATAAAATTACATCGATTTAACAACGATTAGGAGACGAACAATTTCAATTAAGGGAAACTAATTTTTTAATTGTCGATGTTAATTCGTCGTAAAGTTTCGACGTAAATCCGACGTAAACATATTCGACGTAAATCCGTCGTTAAATATTCGACGTTAGATCGACGTAAATTTACGACGAATTTACGTCGATTTATAAATTAATTATTTAATTCGATTGTAATTTAATTAATGAATTTTTTAAATAATCAAAAAATTAAAAATAGAAAAAAACAATTTAAATTGAAATTTAAATTCGAAAATAATTTATTAATAAAAGAAAAAATTTAATACAAATTTTTTTTTACAAAAAACCTAATCTACAATGTGATTTCGTAATCGTCGAGGTTGAGGTCGACGTCACGAGGAGGCTCTCCGTCTTGGCCGCCTGTTGCTGCTGGACCGTCGTTTCCCGTCTGCACTACCGGAGCCGAAGACTGACCCTGCGTCTGCTGGTCCGATGGTCCAGTACCGGAAGTACCACCGGTCTCAAAGACCCCTCGTGCTCGCTGTTGCCTCGCTCGGATTGCGGTGGCCAACTGCGGAACCGCTTCCGCAATGATGTCAAAGAGACCGTGCATCTCGGTGAGCTCCTGCTTCTGGGCCACTTGCTCATGCCTGAGAGTGGTGATCTCAGCATTGGCCATAGCAAGCTCCTGGCGAAGATGACTCGCATCCTCCTGCGTGCGAAATCCGGAAGCCGAGGCGGCAGGACAGTCTCTAATAGAGCCCATCCCTAAGGTTCGGCCCTTCTTCTTCGGAGCAACCTACAAATGGAAAATAAAAACGTTAATTATTTATTAATTAATAAATATAATAAATTTTAAAAAAATTGAAATAGATCATACCTCCTCGAAAATCTGGTCTTGCTCAGCGACGGTCAACGGTACTTGGATAGTACCGTCAGGTGTGGCCTGGGTCTCCCGCTCGGCGATCCGCTGCATAGCGGCATTATAGATCTCCTCTAACCGAGCGTCGACAAAGCTCCTGTCCCTCTTCCGGTGAGTGGTCTCGAAGAGCTTCGTCATTGGAGGTAGTTCTCCTCCGTTCTCCTCGGCCTACCAATTAATAAACATTAGTCAAAAATATTTAATAAATTATAGCAATAATTAAAAATGAAATAATAATGAAATAATTTATATTTAATTACTTACCATCATGAGACGTCTTCCCGCAAAAGATATTTGGCCAGAAGTGTGCGGGGTCACTAATTTCTTACCGTTAGGACCGACCCGGTTTCGGACGGCCGAACACTTAGCCGCAGTGGTTTGGGCATGCGGGTCCAGCCAATACGCCTTCAACCCGTTCCAACAGAAAGTGGACATGGAGCTCGGCTTTGCGTCGTCTCCATCGGTCTCCCACTTCCGCTTCCAATCGGAAACGGTGTTGACTAGGCGTTTCTGCGCCTTCAGCCGGAAAGCTTCGCAGACCGTCTCGTTGATCCCGATGTCCAGTTCCACCGTTGCTGCAAAAGAAAACAAAAAATTATATAAACAATATAAAAGTAAGATTAATTAAATTTAAAATAATTTAAAATGATATAAATAAGATTTAAAAAACATTACCGCGAAGCACTTGTACCAAGTGTCGAACGTCTCTTGCGACACTTTGCTCCAGTTGTAGTGCGGCTCAACGAAATGACTCTTAATTGTGTCGGAAACGATCCGACCGACACAATTATACAAGTCAAACCTATGAAACCAAAAAAAAAACATTACATTAATATTTAAGAAAATTAAAGCATTAATTTAAAACAATATAAAAAACAAAAAATTTTACTTACCAATAAGAGCCTCGTTCCTCTTTTCCGGGAACCAGACGTCGTAAAGCCCCCCGTCCCGGTAGGGCTAGTAAGTCCTCAACCGTAAATTGGGCATACGGATGAGGAGGGTGGGCCACCGGTTTGGGAGTCGGCGGTGGAGGTGGTGGTGGAGGTGGTGGTGGAGGCGGTGGTGGAGACTGCTCCGCTATGGTATTCGGAACCTGGGAGGCTCCGGAAGATGAAGGGACATCGGTCCCGGTGTTTCCCGAGGCAGACGCCTGGGAAGAGTGTCCGTCCGCCATAAAGTTGATGTAGTGCGTCCTCCGTCGAGTCATCGTCTGCAAAACCGGAAAATTTTTATTTTTGAAATTACAAATTAATTTTAAATTATGATCCTAAATCTATATAACAAACACCCTAAATCCTTAATCTAACGAATTCTGATCCTAAATCTAACAAATTCCGAGCCTAAACTAATTTCCGACCTAAACCGTTTGTATTTCTAAACTAATTAAATATAAAAATTAGATTTTAAGTAAAAAAAAAAATTACCTGATTTTTTGGGTTTGCAGGGAAGCAACGAAGTGAGGAGGAAGCAGGGAGAGGAAGAAGTTGAATGAGCGACGAAATGAGGAAGGGGTGCTTCCATATATATAGAATTTTTATTCGTCGTAAATCCGACGTAAATATTACGACGAATTTACGACGAAATCCGTCGTAAAGCTGCAACCGTAAAACAAAGCGAATAAGACACACACACGTGGCTGTATCTGGACTTTGCGACGAATTTACGACGATCAGGGTTATTCGTCGTAAAATCATCGTAAAATTACGACGAATTTACGACAAATCCTTATAAATCATAAAAATTATAATGGCTATGTATTTACATATTGTCGTAAAATCGTCGTAATATATGTACAAAAATGATGAATTACAAAAATTGAAAAACCCATAAGCACATACAAGCATGACTATACATGCTAAATGTGGTCTGTATAAGTTTCTAGCATGTTTACATAACATAATGAAGAATTTGGTTTGATCTAAGATAAATTCTTACATCTTCTCTAAATGTATATAACACTTTAAGATTACTTGATAAACACATATATGTCAAATTTTGAAATTTTTTTTTTTTGTTTAGAAAGTTGTTTTACCTTATGAGATGGTAAGTCATATCATTATCTTCATCTAAATCCCCCCCGAACCCCAGAAAAGATTGATTATAAGATTTAGGGGTTACATTTCGTCGTAAACTCGATGGTATTTTACGACGAATTTACGACGAATGGGTGTGATTCGTCGTAAATTCGTCGTAACATAAACCACATATCTACAAGTTCTTTAATCTTATACTACAAAACCGTATATAATACATTAGTTTACTCAGGAAAATGCACCCAAAAACCATTCTGTGAGTTGGGAAAGCTAAACCCTATAGGGTTTAGGGTTTACATTTTACGACGAATTTACGACGATCAGGGTTAAACCCACAAGTGGTGTCGCGCGACACCTTTCTTTTTATAACCTAATTTACTTATTTCGTTTTCTCTCTTTGTTTTTGGTGTTTCAGGTTTATGCATACTCGTGGAACCAGAAGCAACAAGGACATCTCGCTAGTGAATTTGAGCAACAAAGAGCTAGCTGAGTTAGAGCGAACGAACAGGAAAGCAAGAGATCCAGCAATGATGGAAAACGCCAATGGACTTGTTCGTGATGATGATGGAATCTGGAGAGACCAAGAGGGTCATGTGTGCAATGCGAGAGGCCAAAGGCTTGATGGATATGGTAGCATCATTCCACCAGCACCTTTACCAGTGGATGTTGTTGACCAGAATCCACCACCTGCACCGCGTGGGAATGCTGTGGTCGTTCCACATTAGAGGAACGCTCCAGAAGATCGGAATGTGAGGGAACCTGCACCTGCAGCTGGTCGTGGACGAACACTTGGAGATTACAACAGGCCTGAGCAGTTCTATGCAAATCGTTCTGCGATTCGCGCCCCTGCGTTTCAAAGAAACGATTTTGAGTTGAAGCCTGTGTACTACACTCTTGTTGGTCAGCACCCCTTTCATGGCCACCGCAAACTATTTAAAGTGTAAGTTGTTCCCTTTTTCCTTAGCAGAAAAAGCTCACCGTTGGTTGAAATCTTTGCCTGCAGGATCAATCACCAATTGGGAAGAATGTAAAACTGCCTTCCTGAACCACTTCTATACTAAATCAAGGTCGAATTTGCTGACAACCAAGATCTCAAGCTTTCAGCAAGGACCGACAGAACCTTTATATGAAGCCTGGGAGCGTTTTAAGGAGTATTAACAAGACTGCCTCACCATGGATTTCCCGGATCAAGCCTGCTGAGCACATTTTACAGAGGTTTGCAACAAAATACAAACTTTCGCTTGATACAGCTAGCAATGGATATTTTGGACAAAAGACGATAGCACAAGGAAGAGCTTTCATCAAAAATTTAGCTCAAGCCAATAGCAATGATGGTCCGGAGGTTGATCGATCAACAAAGCAAACCGGAACAGACAACAAGGAGATAACCGAGTTGAAGAACATGATGAGCCAGCTTTTGAAAAGCAACAATCGCCCAATCCATGCTTGTGAGACCAACAATGGCGCTGAAAACGAAGGACCTTGTGATATCGATCACATTAACCCAACCTTTCAAGAAGAAGAAGTGAACTATGTAGGAGCACAGGCACCATACCCGAATCGTTTCAACAATGGTTTCAACAATAACTTCCGGAATGAAAACTACAACAATCTCTCTTACCGCAATCCAAATGTGGAGAACCCTCAAGATCAGCACTACCCACCACAGCAGAGATCCTTCCAAAACAAGTTCCACGGTGGAAATTTTGGAGGGACAGGAGCTCACAGCCGCGACAGCTATATAACTATCAAGGTACGAGTTTTAACAATTAATTTGTACAACAGCAAGGAGTCACAATGAACCAGCTAGCTTTGCAAATCGGAAGACTTGAACAGTCCATCCAACAGCTTGTTATGACAAACGAGAAAGCAGCTAAAGACATGAACGTGAAAGTTGACTGCATGTACAACGAATGAACGGGAAGTTTGAAGCTTTATCTTCGCACGTCAAAAGGCTAGACGTCCAAGTTGTCCAAACAGCCGACTCTATGAAAAGACAAAATGGAGCTCTTCCCGGAAGAGTTGAAGATAACCCCAAGAATTTGCAATGCCATAACCACGCTGCCCGAAGAACCGATGGAAAGGATGAAGAAACCCCTATATTTGTTCCACTCTACAAGGATGTTGATGCCAAGCAGCCACCATTCAAGGTACCTCAACGTTCCCCATTTCAAAGGCTTACAAAAGCCGACGTTCCGCGACGTTTTGTTTTCCAATGTTTCATTTCAGGAATCAAGTTCACACACTGTCTATGCGATTCCGGAGCCAATGTCAACATCATGTCAAAGACATTTGCCAAACAATTGGGCATAAAAACTTTAAGGACATCGACAGTCAAGGTTATCTTTGGAGATTCATCCCAGAAAGATACTGAAGGGGCGATTCATGATCTACAAGTTCTAGTAAGGGACAAGATTGTTCCAGCAGACTTCCAAGTTCTGGAAATGGATCAAGACAAGGAGAGACCACTCATATTCGGGAGACCATTTCTAGCTACTGTAGGAGCAGTAATCGACCACACAAACCGGCATGCTGTCTTCCTCAATGTAGATCGCAGGAAGTTTTATCCGACTGTCCTAGACGTTTTTCCAAGTAAAGGAAAACGGCCAAAAGAAAAGGGAAAAGAAAAGCCGAGAGCTTTTGCAAAGACCAAGATCATCATTCCGCCAGATGCAACAATGACTAGTGAGGACCAAATCTAGGAGCTGATCGAGAACACAACAAGGGTTTTAAACAACGTTAAAGTCCGGAAGAAGAGTGAAAGAAAGAAGCTGGCGCCTCAAGGAGAAGACGTTAAACCTCCAGCGACCGGAAATGATAAAGGCACATCAAGTGGAGTGCCATTTCAACAGCCTGATCTTTTGTGCCTAAGTCGAGCTAAACGACTTAAAACAAAAGCGTTTAATGGGAAGCAACCCATTTAGGTACTCTTTCTTTTAGTTTTCTTTTCCCTTTTTACAATTCATGTTTTCTTTTTCTTTCTAGATTCAGGTACTCTTATAAAACAAAAACACAAAAAAATTAGAAAAATAGAAAAACCGAAAAAGAAGGAGGGGATTTTAGCTGCTCGGCCTGGCAAAAACCCAAAAGTTGGGATCAACCGACCCGCGGCCAACACACTTTCGACCGCGGCACCGTGAATGTGACCGCGGCCGAGTCTATGTTTACTGCGGTTGCGCGTCTCCTGACTGCGGCCGTTGGTCGTTGAGACGGAACTTCCGATTTCCGTTGCTTTTCAGATGTTCCCGGTGACTCCCGATGATTTCTGGAACATTTCCGGAAAAGCCCATTAAGATTTTACGTAAGTTTTAAATTCCCTGTTGCGTACAAGACAAGAAAGGTAAGTTCCCGTAAGCCTTTGAATTCCCAAAAATTTCCCGTTTTTGCGACAAAAACGCTTTTTAAAGAAAGGAAACACAATTTTTGGATCAAAACTCTTTTTTCCCTTCTTTTACAAAGGACTTGGAGATTTAGGAGATAGAACATCTTTTTCAATTCTTAAGTTTTTTAAGAAATTCTTGGCCCAAACCTCACTCTTTTTAAACCTGATTTCGAATCTATCATCAAATCTCTCTTTCCAGCTAGGTATGAAGTTCAAACTCGCCATTTTTAATTGATTTTGGAATTTAGGGTTTTCTTAAAAAGCCCAAATCTTGGTTTATTAGTGGTGGAAATAGCTTAAGAGCAATAGACTATACTTCTAGCTTATCTGAAAATCGATTTTAACACTTAGCTTAAGAGGAATTGAGAATTTTGAAATTTGGATTCTACATGCTTTGTAAAAACAGAATTTGGAACAGCAAAATTGATTGAATTTGGTCAAATCTTGTGTGATTAGTGATTAGTATTAGGTAACCTATAGATTTGGTATGGAAATTGCTCGATTAAACAAAATTTTAGAAAATTTCTGTGTCAAGAACATCAAAAATCCGAATCTGGTCACGAACTACTCGATTTCTTTGATTTTATATCAATTATGCTTGCTTGCTTGTTTTAACTAATCTCTTGATACTATAATTAGTATCAATGATTGTTAATAGGTTAAACGCAGCATCCATATTCACTCTCTTTCCAAGAATCATCTTGTCTTGTAGGAAAATGGAACAAACCAAGTCTCAAAGAAGCTGTCACACTAGTGACAGCTCTGAGGAAATACCCGATGATAGTACTCTTGGAGAGTACATGCTGAACCAAGCCAGACCGAGAAGAAGAAGTCGATTGATGAGGCTGCTCCAACATTCAAGAGAAACACATGCGATTCCCGAGCCACCACAGATTCGTTATATTGGGAAAGAGATCAACCCAAGAGTGGACTATGCAAGGTGTTTCAAGAAGCTGAACATCAAACCAATACTCTGCATTGATTATCATACTCTCGAGATGCTTGGGATTAGTGAAGATGTAATATGGTACATCGATGCACTTAGGCTGAGACCCTACATGGAGCTGAACCTTCCAACTTATGCCGAGCTAGTCCGCGAGTTCTTAGCAACCATCACCCTCCACCACACGAAGAGGAGGAGCCCCAGAGCATTTGACGACATTCTGTCGTTCTCTATCTGCGGACAGACCTACTCACTCACCATTTCTGCAGTTTGTGAAGCTCTTAAGCTTCCATACACTGATGGCATTCACCTCGAAGAAGAACCTGATTTTGACTTATGGAGAGAGATGGGTCATGGCGTCTATGATAGCGGGAGATCCAAGTCAGTCCTTCTTACACATCCTGCCGTGAGAGTTTTGCACAAACTCTTAGCACACATGATTTTCTCTAGAGCCAACATGGGATGTGTTCTGAAGACCGAGCTCATTACACTTAAGATACCATTTATGGACGACCCCCGACTTGCCTGCTTTGCCTGGATCATAGCACAGAACATGGTGAAGGTGAAGCATGATTTACATGGTTGCGAGGACGCTATTACTGCTTATGGAAGCGCTATTACGGCAATACTACAGGCTGTAGGATTCGTTTCTCATATGATGATCCACTTCCTGACGTCTGGTATGACCTACTCTATCTCTCCTCGCGATCACATTATCTCTCGTGCCATTTTCGATCCAGACAAGTTCGATTACAAGTATTGCACTGGCACCGAAGAGCACTGAGTCTGTTTACATGCAGCATCAGTCCCGAGATTGTGTAACGGAGGACGTCCGCGATGGACTCCGGAACTTTACCCTCTGTACCTTGTCTACCATTCACTATCGGGCAATACATAGTGGCCAAAGCGAAGCGCGACGCAGCTGCAGCACGTGCTCACTTTCAGCCATCTGTTTCCACCGGCCATATTTCATCATCGACATCATCACACACACATTCTGATCTGGAGTGCAGAGTTGAGAGACAAGGACGACGCTTTGAGCGCGTCGTCACCTTCCTATAGGAGCAGCACCATTTCGAAGCAAGCACATCGGAGAAAGAGTGATTGATCAGCATTTCATTGTCATTTTACAGCCAACACGGTTTTATCATCATTTTCTTTTCTTTTATCTTATTTTATTTTTGCTTTTATTCACCATCTTCTCACCAACTTGTTCACATTGTGGACAGTGTGATTTATGTCTGTGGGAGGATGTCTATTCGTACTAATCATTTTCTTGCTCTGTTTTTAAAATTTCAAGTACTTTCTAAATTTCAATATGTAACCTATTCGACCTTAAATATTTTTCAGGAATGTTTGACACAAAACTGTGATGATTTAGACCTGCATGCTTCGACACTACGCATGATAGCTCATTTGTGGTTAGCACTAGACTAGGCGGTAGCTAGAGTACTTGCTTTACGAACTACCACCAGAGGACTTCTATTCATGGAGATTCTTTTCTGACAGAATATACTAGCTCATTTTATTTGACCTTAATATTGATATCTAATTTTCTCATCATTAATTTTAGGCAAGCATCGAGATATACATCTAGGACGTCTTTTACCCTCATTTTTACCACCCTTTGTCGTCCTAGATGGCCAGTTCATATTTATCTGGTACCATACCCTAAACCCAAAACCCTTGTTTCTAATCCTCATGCATACTCTCTTTAGTTTATATCAGCAGATATGTGCAAAAACGTCAGAGAGAAGAACAACAACACAATTTTCAGTCACTCAAGAGGAAGAATGAATGGAATTAGGAAGGAAGAATATCAGAAACCTTATTAAGCTTTACAAGACTCATTTTT